TCCATTATCTTTTACAAAATTATTAAAAATAAAATGAACAATTTTAAATGGAAATCATTTTAGTTAAGCATAATGATTTTTACTAAATCTTTTAGTCGAAATTGTAATAAGAAATCTCGAAAATAAACTTATTTATAGAAAAAAAAAAAAAGGAAATGGTATATCTATTCGTCATTTTGACTCTGAAGTTTTTTTACGTATTTCACAAATTCGATATGAAACGAAGTAAAACATTTCTTTACATCTTGAGTTTATATTCACKACACACATCTGAAATAAGTCATTCATCCTCAAAATGACATTTTTCCACGGTTAGGACTATGGAGCACCTAAATATTCGGAAAATAAAGCATACGTAATCTAAACTTCAACATTAATCTCACTAATAAGCTGGAAAGTAGAAAGTATGGCTCACAACTCCTTAATATACTTCATGAGCTCAACAATGCTCTAGTACTGGAAGAATATATTTATASTACAATAAGTAAAAACATATCATCTGAATCTTGCATACTAAAAATTATTAGATAAATAAACACGTCCACAAAATTAATATCCAATCGGTTTTCGAGTTTTGAGTGTCTTCATACAATCAATATTGAATTTGAGTGCAGAAAGAAAAAAATTGGTTTGCAATAACGAAACTTAGAAAATAAAAATAAAACATTATTTTATAATGTATGACAAAAAATGTAATTGTGGACATATTCTATCACAAATTTAAAACCAATATAAAGTAAAACAAACCGCCATAACACCATAATCACACCGAAATCAGCATTTTTCTACTCCATCTTCTCTATCTTGATGGAGGCAAGACAAAGTCTCCTCGATGCTGAGTTTTGATCTTATGCATCTCTTGGAATTTTCTCTCCCTCTGCTTTCCCGTCATCAGATTTCACTTCAATCTCTGTAGTCTTCGAAGATGGAGTCAACTGTGTTTTTCCCTCCTCTGTTTTCTCGTCGTCAGTTTTCACTTCTATCTCTTTACGCTTCGAAAATGGAGTCAACTTTGTATTCTTCTCAGTGTGAAATCAGCAAAGGTTCATGATTGACACTATCTCCTCCCTGGAATAAGAAACTTAAAACCATTAATAGAAGGCAATATGTAGATAGAACAAAGCTAGCTCTAAACTCCACAACTTCTCCATGTGGGGAGTTGAGAAAAACCTTAGAGCAATTGAATGCATTAGAGACACTCCACACTTCTGCATAAGGAGATCAAAATAGTTAATACTCCATAAACCTTACCAAAATTTGTAATAAATATGTAGAATATATTCAAACCTTTCCAGTGACTGGTCCGACAAAATTGCGCAACAAATATGACATTAGTGTTGTTCTGGTTCTTCACATAGTCGTTCAGTGTCTCATCATAACTTCCAAAGAGTGTGCATGAGAGTCGTTTATTTCTATTAAACAAACATTAAATAGTTGGATTTGGATCAATTGGCAGTAGTAAAAGTAAGACTAAATTAATTATAAATGTATAGATAACCTACTCTGAATTCCTGAGTAAAACTGTAAGTTTCTTGACAATGTTTGCAAAGGTTTGAATATTAGTAACGTTCACAATTTGGCCAATAACATCTAAAACAAACAAAAACCATAATTAGATCAAACAAAATGATCTGATAGTTGAGTATAGGTTATAGTGATTACAATAAATATTACTACTTACCAACCAAATACTTGATTCCCAATTTCCCATTAGTAATGTCATCATAGTTAGCAAAACGCCACCCAATTAATGTAACTGGTAATTGATCACATTCCTCAACTGTCGTCAGTTGGAAAAAGGATATCTTGTAGTTGTGATCACAGTTTGACTGACTGAGAAATTTCAAATAAGCTTTGTGTCTCTCTACAATTCTCGAACTGTGACCAAAATTGTTTCTTGATAGCGGCCCCGATTTTGTTTTACTATAGAGACAACAAAATATTGCACAACGGTATTAGAAACCTTTACTATAGTTCTAAGATAAATAAAAACAACTGGTAGAATCAGAGAGGATAATAACATAACGAATGAAACACAATTCACACTTACCATTGAATGAGAAAGGATAAGTTCCAATGCTGCACCATATGGTGACTCTTGTTTCCACACATAGAATCTTAGCCTTAATCCTCAAGTTGGTTTAATACGGTTTGAGCTCGGAAATCATGTTTACGGCAGCCATTATTTTGAAGTTTTGAAAAGTAATATAGAAGCAGAAATGATTGATATGTTCTAGTTGTGTAGAACTATCACTTATATATAGAGTTGTCGATGGATCTTGATTTAGGTTTAGCAATAAAATTTCTGAGTAAATTTAAGTAAATGGTAACTGATAACTAATTACAATAAATATATTATTATTCATAATATTATGTTTATATTGCAATCCGTAAGTTCTTTGGCTGGTAGGAAACCATGA